CAGGCCATTGAGAATATTGCCTACACCTCCAACAACAAGGAAAAATGGCATTGTAATCATGCTCATCCTTTGTTGTACGACGCCAAACATTGGTATGTAAGAATTTGTAGAATTAGACATTGTGTGTTCTACTTAGAGACAATGAAAAATCATGTGCAAACAGAGATCAAATTTATATTACTTTGATATACAGATAATTTTTCTTCTCATCAACTCATGTCTACACCCACATATTCTCATCAGAGAAAAACAATTATTTCTTTTCTACAAAATACTTATTTAGTTTATATCAAAAGTACTGTCATCTGCAGATAAAACTTAGTAGGATGGAGTCAATCGAATGTTTTTTCTCAGAAAATGTTTGAACTAACAGGTCATGCAAAAGTACTTGCACAATTGTCAGGCTTTGTTGTATTCGAACGAAATGTGATAGAAATCTAATTTTGTTCTCGTTCGATAGAGCATTATCACTAATCTAAAACAGTTATCATTACAGATTTTTATATGTGTACAAATAACAAAATGTATTCGGTTTTCTAAAAACTTCTAAAACGTTGGCCGCAAAATTTCAGCAATTTTGTTTGTAATTTATTTAACAAAAACTTCTATATCTTTACGTAGAATTAATATTACGAGTAATATTTTTCAGCTTATATACGAAACTATATCAACTTTCGACAAAGATAGAAATCAGTATCAAATTTGATTGTTACCATTAAGATTCGATATGAAAACAGGCAATAACTGTTTTTGGAGATGTTTGCATTTCAATTGTTTAAAGATTTTAGATTTGTATCGACAAGTGATTTTAAGAAAATATATTACTCCTTGCAGAGTTTTTCACGGACTCCAAGAATATGTATGAAGCTTTAATAGAACAGGTTTTTCTTAGTTAATTATATACATGAAATCCTATAAATACTGCTGTTGCACAAAGCTGCTTCCAAGTGTCAACATAGTTTCAAAAGATCAGATCTCTCTGATGAAAAATCAGTTTGAGCTACTTTTTTTCTTAAAGAATCTCCCAAAACTCTACAACTTAAAAGTAATTTCAGACTACAAGCATTTGTACATGTTGAGATATAAGGCATGTTTTATGGTAACAACCTTGTACAGCCTAGTTTTTGAAAGTTGTAGACAATCGAATAGATTTCGTTGCTTGGACACATATAAAAAATGTGCAAGGATTTCTTATTAAGGTTAGATACCATGCTCTACCGAACGACGAAGAAAATTATATGTCTATCACGTTTCATTCAAATAAAACAGAGTGTGACATTTGTGTTTAGTTTTTAAAATAGCATTTGGTGCAAAAGCAATGGGACAAATGTTGATTCCTCTGTCTCTTTAATAGAAGGGTACTGAATGAAAAATTTTTTACCAGAAGATAAAATTTTTCCTCTTTCAACTTATACCCTAGAGAATATACTGGGTTAAGGGTACCCAAAAAAGTACCCTGATACCAGTATGTCACAGGAACTCTTGGGTACCAAAGTACTTGCAGGTACTTACAGGTACCTAAGTGGTGCTTTGGCAAGTACCCTGCTGGAAAATACACAGTAATTGGGTACCTAAAGGCACTGATCAAGTACTGAATTGGGTATCATTGTATAATATTTCGAAGTACCCTGTCACCAAATTTTCAGTATGTTCAGGATCGAACCTGATCTTTGACTCTTTAAAATTTTTTCTTTTTCTTGAGATAATTTACTACATTTTTTTTACTTTACTCAATTTAATTTTTTCAATTCCAAAAACTTAGCAGGAACAATGTCGGAATCCGACTCAACTTGAGTTGGTCGTGAACCACTTCAGGGTAGTCCGATCTTAATTTACGACCAAGCTCGGTATTTCCTCGACTAAGAAATAGTCAAGAAATAATTTAGAAAAAATTAGTATGAAAATTGATTATTTTCTTATGATTTATCGAGTTGCTTATATAGAGCCGTACGTAAAAAAGAAAACGGTGAATGAATAGTCGCCACACAGAACGCGACAAATTTAGGATACCCTGTCGAGCTTTCCTCAGTAAAGTTACAGACTTGTGTATCCATGCAGGTACTTATTCAGTGAATGTACTTTTACGGATACCCAAACAGGACATACATCAGTAAAATTACTGAGAATTTTCAAAGTACTCATACTGGGTACCCTGCTAGAGCTTTCTCAGTACATGAGTACCCTGAACTCAGTACTTTCTCTAGGAATGACTTATTTTGTGAAACACGATCTGAAGGAGTGTTAAAGTGTATAGGAGTAGAAATTTGGACTCACTCTCCATACCACAGACTGACAGAGTTAGTTGACATACGATCAAAGATCGCATATCACTAAAATCTCATTAAAACATATGAGGTGTTTTCTTATTGCAACTCTAGAGGATTAAGTAAAGAACAATGAAGAATTGTGTCCCAAAATAGATAGAATAAAACAATTTTTTCTGGGACTACAATTAACAGTTGCATCGTGTTTCACATTTTAATTCCGCTGGGATTGCACTCACAGCTTTTTATCTCGTGTCCATAAATGAAACGGTGGGGCAAAAACAAAGAGAAGCACTCTCAAAAATGAGTCTGCACTTTCCCTATAAATTATAGCACAACATATGAATCCTTATATCTCTACGATAAATACGTTCTGAACGGAATTTTTTTTCATCAGTCGATAAGATAAGAAACGTTCTCCTGTTTTGAACAGTATATAATTTATATTTCTCATACATTCGTAAATCAAATGAGGCGAGAAAAAAGAGAAGCACTCGCATAATAAATTAGTAAAAGTTTATATGAATTCGTCAAAAACATAGTGTAACACGACAGTTCATCAGAATCAGCTGCGGTTTTATAATGTGTTTTTGTTTTTGACGATTTCATGTAAAGATCACAAATTTATTGCGCGAGGGTTTTTCTTTTTTTTCAGCCTCGTTTTATTTATGAATGTATGACAAACATAAGTAATATAATATTCGAAACAGGAGAAAATTTCCTATGGATTGATGGAAAAATATTCCTTTCAGAACATGTTTATCAAAAAGATATAGGTATCAATATTTTCTCCATTTTTTGTTTAATCTAAGGAAAAGTGTGGATTTGTTTGAAAGGTACTTCTCTTTTCTGTAATGAATGAAAGGAAAGGGTGTGGGGTGTAGGTGTGGATGTGGATAGAGATTATAGCCACATTCACATCTACACCCTGATCCAATGAATATTGACTAAGTTTCTACGGCATGTATTCATACAATTAGTATCCAATGATTAGCATTTCAAGATATTGCCTTCTTATTGGATATGGGTCTTGGTGTTAGTCTACATTTGAGTGGAGGCATGAGTTTATGACTCTGAGTGCAAGTGCTTGTATTCATCTACAGCATTGTCATCTGTTCGGCATTTTCCTTCTTTTTCATATGACAAATTTGTGTTCAATTTTTTATTGCGCCATTTAAGACAAAAGATTTTGACAGTGAGTGAGTTACAATAACTGTTGTCTAAAGTCTTTTGTTGCTTATATGATTCATTCTGTGTTCTATTAATTTGGCAAGCAATACCAATGGCGAAAATGTTTTTATCGAAAATGAGACGTTTGTTGAATAATTTTTGCAATTGAATGTTAGTAGCTTCGATACCTATAGAAATATAGATTTGTTGAACTACGTCACTATCGCACGAATACACCTAAACATCTTTTGTTCCGCAAAGAATTGCTAGTCGAAAACCATGCGAGCAGTAAATGTAATTACATTCGAAAAGTAATATGCTTAATAAAATACCTATCTTCTTTATGTATTATTTATTATGTTTTCGAACTTTGAGAATAAAAAAATGCCATAGAAAGAAGTAGCAAGTTATTCAATCCATCAAAATGTGAAGAACTCTTAAAAAAAGCTTTCTTTAGTGTTTCAGTTTTTTGTTGGTTTTGTTTCCGCTTTTTTGACTTGAGAAGGTGGCAACCCTTTTCATGCATGATCACAACTATACTCGATTGTCAAATCCATTGATATTTTTGTTAACTGAGTTCTTATGAGATTTTGTAGAACTTGCCGGCCTGATACGGGTGAGTGCGTAGATCTAAAGACACATATATTTTATCGACCACTGAGGGATGTAGTGATGGGTTCTCAATTGACAAGACAATTAATTCATAACTTTGAGACCTCGTACAGCTTTGAACAGATGACATCATGAAAATTTTTCATGCAGATTTTCAATTCGAATCGAATTCACAACATGACCAGCAATTAAATACAAAATTCACATTCTTTGGATATCAGATTTCCTAAAACTTGCAATGATTTTGATGCGAATTCATAGGTGAATGATTCTAGACGTACTTAATGGCTTTGTACACAGCTAACAAACTGTGTATGTGCTGCATTAAAGTTCTCTGCATTTCGCTATGATTATGCATCACATGTAGGAGCTTCTTTTTTTTGCTAACAAACGTCTGTTCAAGATGTTTTTGGTCCGACCTGTTCCATCGAATTGCAATGATATACTTGGATATTAAGTTCCATGCTTAACCCGAAACAGGATTGTAAGAAAATCATTGAAACTCACTAGAACTTGCAGAAACAATTGTCAAAAATACAAATGGAACCAGCGGTTCCTACAATTGAAACATTCGATCTGAAACCTTTTCTCTCACTATTTTCGTCACTTTATAGCATAGCAGAAAACGATGACGTAAACGCGGCAGTTTCATTTTTTCTTCTTTTACTCATGTTGTACAAAAGACAATTGTGTAATAACTGAAATGTGGAACATTGTTCAAAATTAAAGTAATGACGGTTTAATATCATTTCTGATCATGACCAGTTGGCTAAAGAATTTTTCTTTCAAATAAAAATTCAATGTGTATTTATTGATATCCTTTAAATTGACATATTTAGAAGAATCTTTTGCTTTTGAAACCTTTTCTTTTTTAAAATCAGTTTTAATAGCAAGATTTTTCTATGTTTTATTTCAAAAAATGATTAGTGTTCATATTGTTATCAGTCTAGTTATTCAATAAAATACTTGAATTTGCGGCAACCTGGTTCTGATTGTTTCTTTGATTAAATTCAGTTCCTCAGGTGGAAAATTATTTTCACTAATATCTAAAATAGTAGCAGGAGAATTATATAAGCCAAACAATTCTTTTGGTAGATGTGTTAATTTGTTATGCTTTACTAAAAACTGTTGCAGTAAACCAATGTTTTGAGAAATTTCTGGTGGAATTAAATCAATTTGATTATAACTAAAATCCATAATTCTATAATAACTAGGAGTTCCCAAGGTACTGATGCCAAATAAATCTTCCAAATTATTATGTGACATGTTGAAATACGTTATATAAGACATACGAGTAGGAAGATACTTTATATTGCAATTTTGAGCGTATAAATTTTGTATGCTATTCATGCCATTTAATTCATCGATTGAGGTCAGTGGATTCGATTGTAAATATATTGTGTTCAAAGATGTTAAAGATGACATCGTTGATGGTAATGATGTTATTCTATTGTTATCTAACCATAATGTCCTTAAACTTCTCAATTTTCCAAAAGTAGATGGTAACAATACTAATTGATTATCAGATAATTTCAATGTTATTAGTTGTGATAGATTTTCAATAACAGTAGGTATTTCTTTTAAATCACTATTCACAATAAATAATTCTGTTAACAAATCTAAGTTTCCAAATTCATTAGGTAAACGTTCTACTGGACTATTATAAATATGTAAAGTACGAAGTGATCTTAATAGTCCAATTTCCGATGGAATTGCTCGAATACTTTCATCATCCAAGCTATATTCATAAAAATCCGTATCATAAATAACTAATTTATTTAAATTTTTCAGGCAATAAACATTTAATGGAACATATCTTTCATTATAAATGGTTAATTCCGTGACATGACTAGTAAGATTCATCATTGCAAATGTTTTATTTCCAGTCAATATTGGACTAACAAGAACAACAAATGGTAATGATTTCAAAATATCATAATCACGTCGAAATTGTGTACAATCGAGTGTTGTCCTTATCTCTTGCTGAGTACTATCACTGAGGTCCAAAGTATTCTTATTTAGCGTTTGAATATTTGTGGGGAAACCTAGAAATCAAAAATATATGTGTGAGAAAAGCCTCTACTCGAAAACTTCAGACAGTAATCTTTAAGAAGAAATTTCCAATACAGTGTAGACAAGACCAAAAACCTCATAAATCAGTACACCAGTATGAGTCTGGTATTTTAGCTTTTGATAAAATGCTGTGAGGAACTACCGGCACTTATTTTTTCTACGGAATTTTTTTATTTATTGAGGATTTATTAATTATGATGATATTTTAGCACATTCAAACACTCACACCTACATTCTCACTCTCACTCACACTCTATATGTATTGAGAAACTATATGGGATTTATTTCAAATTTCTTAGGGACTGATTGAAAAGTTCTAATAAATGCCGGTAGCTGCTGACTGAACAATAGTGCACTTTAGTATCAAACATGCATGTATTATAGTTCGGAAATAGCCCTGATATTTCTTAATACATTTGATACTTTCATATTAACACAGTGATGAACGCAAAGAATAGGTGCATCTGTGACTAAGCTGATGTTCATGTATCACCTTTTCTTTAATGCCCGCATTCAAGAGCATACTTCACAACCCACACACTACATATCTGAACAAATTTGACCTTCGCCAAAAAGAAAATTCAGTATACGACATGCTTTAGAGATATTTTTTGCTGTGTTAGAAGCAACAAACTAAACGTTTGAGAACGTTCTTCCTTGAATAATAGGATATGCATTGTTATAGAACTCTATACTGTTATTTTAAGAAGCAAAATTGACTGGTGAAAGGATTTCTTATTCATTTTTACTTTCTATATAATGAACAGCTGTTAGTTATCATTTAGATGTAACACGTATGAATTCACATACTCATATTGAGTTTTTACATCGATACGTGTATATATTTAAAGGATGCTTACTCAATATATCGTCAACATTTTTGCCAACGACCATGGATATTTGTATCAGATAGAATATTGTGATGAGTAATATTGATGATTGGTTTGCCATTTCTTGCTTGCAAATTGAAAAATACAACGAAAATATACAGTGTAACCTATATATATATATTCTGCAGCGTTTATTACTTTTCACCGAAAAATCTAATGTTTTTTCGTCGATAATAATAGAATAGTATTACACTCATTGTATATGAAGAACATTCGCAATATAGTACTTGTTTTTAATTCATACTATATGATTTGGAGAATGACCTTGATATAGTAAATATTTGAAGAGATAAAAGAAGAGAAGAATATCAGAGAAACCATCAAGAAAAAGATATACTAAAAAAATACAGCTGCCATTAGTACGCCATCGATATCAGTCAAAGCCTACCTTGTGAAAATTCTGATGATTATTACGGTGTCCAGAAAAATCTATTCAAAAATTCGATTAATCAGATTTCTTCGAAAAATTGTTAAAAAGACTACATTTTATCCAGACTCTGACAGAGTGCAAATGTTGAGAGGAATCACTTACAAGTACACTCACACTCAGATCCGCTCCCACCCCATATCCTGGAAACTTCATGTGACTTGAATGTTCATGGGCTAAGATCGATTTTTGAGGGTGCGAGAAAGCTGAATTCTTATCGATTTAATCTACTTTTCAAACATGAAAAATATTCGATTCACGAGATTAATAACTAAGAATAAAAAAAGAATTATTTTTATATAAACAACTTATTGATATCAAAACGAAATGTTTAACATAACATAAAAATTCAATTTCAATTCTTGTTTTTTAATCAAAAGATAATCAAACTTTCTTCAAAAGTATTGTTCAATATTTTTTCTATTTATTTCATAAATATACATTTACAATCAAACAATAGTATTGACTAGAAACCATAAACAAGGCATTTCTTGTTTTCACGTTGCATTATTATCTTATTAATTCAATGTCGAGTATCACAGATAAATGGAATCAACTAGTTAATACTCGTTCTATTACTGTTTATCTATCGTTCAATAATTAAACATATTATTATATTAGAGAATAAAATCATCTAAAGACCATGTTTGTAAGAAAATGGCATCTGATGAAGAATTTTGTAATTGTGATATTGATTGACATGCTTTTGCTCCATAACCAATAGCTAACATATATGATATATTATCAATATCATTATCATTATTATCAGATCTAGTTAGAAGTGGTGTACGAAAATTTCCTCGATTAAATCGATGTTGTTCAAATTTTTCTTGTAAATATTTAAATTGAGTTATAAAACGATTATCATGTGATTCATTGATTGTTGTTGATGATGATGATGATAAAGCAGATGATGAAAGTGAAAATAAATGTAAAACTTGTTGATCATAAGCATGAACAGTATATAAAACTTGAATAGTTGATGATTTAACAATAATTATATGACCAGTATTTAATCCAATAAATACAAGTATTCGAGTAGGTAATATTGAATCAATAGTTATATCATTCGAATCATCTAATAAGATAGATATAGATAGAAATAAAGAAATTAATTCAATGAAAAAAGAAATTTCTAACCATTAAATCGTTTAATAATTTGTGAACAATCAATTTGATTGATTATGCGACGAGAGAGATGATTCCAAACACATACAACACTTCCTAAAATTAATTTTATATTATACAAAAAAAAAACGGCAAGATTCCCAAAACAATAAATTACTTGTGAACTAGGTTCATTAAATGTTCGAAATCTCAACAACAAAGATCCTTATCATTTGAGACTTTTTCTCATTATAAATGTAGTCAGAATTTTGACTGTAGGAAACATGTTAAAATGGACGAATTCTATTTGATAGAGTAAACAATTATCCTTCTTGATAGAAACTGAAACGGCGTGCACAGATACTTCAGCATGAGAAAATTTCAGCAGCAAAAGTTTTGTACGTACACCTTTTACATCACTTTCTTTTTGTTTGTTCGATTTTCATCTATGAACAAAATTTTAGTTCGACATTCGATTGTTGATGTTCTCAGTAGTTTTATACTAAAGAATGAAAGTTTCAACTATGAAAATTCTTATCGTTTATGTTAGCTATCTAATGGAATTGAATTTGAAAAAAATTTATATCCATATATCTATTCCTTCAATCATAGTGAATAGATCCTGTTGAAGAAAAAAGAATTTTTTTTTAATCTGACGATGATTTCTTTTTGATACATGCTTTTAATCTTCGAGAAATCTTTAGAAAAAAAAATACCTGTTTTCATTGCTGTCCAAATTGAATATTGATAAGTTGAATTTTTCAATCCACAAAGTAAATGTACAGCACTTGAACCAGTTAATAATTGATGTGATAATTGAACAGATAATTGAGCTGTACGAACATCAATAATACGTATATTTCCTAATGAACAACCACACCAAATTTCTACACTAGAATATTTTAGAAATTTTCTTTATCATAATTTATTTTTGTAACAAAAGCCAAAAAAAATGAAAAACTTACTTTCGACCACTAGCTGTTGGTAATGCAAGAATTTTAAATGTTGGTAATGAAACATTAGCTATATAACGATAACAAAGATCAATTGTTGATGAAATTATATTTTTTGATCGATGTAAAATTATAGATAAATCAATACTATATATTGAATTATCTGATAAAAGTAAAAAAATAATTGATGTTTCTAATAGACTAGTCATATATATTGGATGACCATTTTCTTGATGATGTATAAGATGAAATTGATTTAATTTTTGAAATGTTTGTGTACAATAAATATAAATCATATTTTGACGATCAGCTAAAAGTATAACATGATCATGTATATGATAATAAATTGAACGAATTTCACAATTGCCAAGATTAATTATCTAAAGATATTGAAAGAAAATTAATAAACGTGAAGAACTAGATATTTGTTATTAATTATACAAAAATTATTTAATCCTATTGATTTTACGATACATTTCTTAATCCTCAAGAAATATTATAGATATCAATATATAAAACAGATAGTTAAAATGTGAGATATGAAAAGGATGTTTAAATTTTAAACTGTATACTTCAATATTCGTGTTTCACAAAAAACTCGAATCTATTTGTTATATATAATCAAACCTGTTGACTAACAGCATTGAATTGATCATAAGCAACAATAACAATTGATGATTGTTGTATTTGTTTTGATTGTCGAATAAACCAACAATCTGCAGTTGGAATATTAACAATATCATTATCATCATTTTCAAAATGTTCATTATCTAATACAAAACAAATTTTGTTTTTTTTTTTGTTTTGAAAAACAACAATAAATTCATTATATACTTTCACGATAAGAAACAGTAGCTAATGTATTTGAATCATTAAATTCATCACGATGACCAATTTCAATTATATCCATTAAATGTCGAAATTCTAATGAACTTGATAATTGATATATATCTTTTGCTGATGGACGATCATTTGGATGTTCAGACCAACAAGCAACCATAAGATCAAGAATCAATGTTGGAGATGATAATTCCTACAATAAAACAAAAAACGACAATCAATAATATTGTATTATATTCAATATCGAAATCTAAATACTAACCTGTTCAGTTAATGATGGTCGCCAACCATGTAAAATTAATTCTCGTGCATGATCACGTTTATTTCTACTAAATGGATGATTCAATGAAAGACATTCATACATAAGCATAGAAAAAGAAAATATATCAGCCTATAACAAAAAAAAAATAAATATTAAATTTTCTAATAAAAATCCAATAGACTTTTTCTGTATATAATTCATCACCAGTAAATCGAACAATTTCTGGTGCTATATATCCTGAAAATAAGATAAATTGATGTTTAAAAAAGAAAAAAAAACATTTCTCTTCAAATAATTTTCTTACCTTCAGT